ATTTCTTTTTCTTTGAATTCCTATCATCAACACTAGCAATCCATTATTCAGCAAATAGAGAGGGTATTTACTTCATGCTGAGCCTTTGCAGACCTAGCAGATAGAGAAATGAACAAAATATGAAGTAGATAATACACATAGTGATCTAATTAAAATTACTGTAAAAAAGTTCTTCAGAGTACAACATAGTCCTGAAATTGTCTAATTCAATTAACCATGAAATATTTCTGAAGGAGGCACAAAGAATTTTCATAGTTTAGATGAAAAGATAGAATATATCTACTATATACATATGTAAAAAAGACAGTAAATATTAAACATTAAATTAGTGATCAAAACAAGCAATTGCTTAAAGAGACGGACAAGTCTGTTTGTAAGATAGAAATTTGTCATGGAAATGAAATGTAAGTGGAGAGAAAATGGGGAGAACTTGATTCTAAGGTGGGAGTGGGGGAACAAAAATGGAAGGCAAACAAGCACAGCAATTCAAGCATCATTGAATTAGTTGAAGTGTAAGTTAGTATAGATAGGTAAATATTAGGCCAGAACAGTTTCTTTCTGTCCAATTGTGGAAATTCTTGTTTCTGAAAGAAATTTTTTGAGGGTGAGAATTACAAATCTTTTACTTCTGTTTTGGGTTTATTAATTAGGACTTCTGGAATTAGCCTAGAAGGTAGATGTTTAAACATATAAGTGTACTTGGTATTCATTCTGCTCTAGATCAGCTCTATTTGGTCATTATTCCTGACATATATGCACTCATCTAGCTGTTGAAATTTTAGAACATTGAGAGCACTCAGGAACAGATATTATAATTTTCCTTTTACGGATCAACACACACACACACACACACACACACACACACACACACACACACACCCAACCTCTAAGCAACCAGAAGTTTTGTCACTTACGTTAGGAAAACTTTATAAGCTTGAACATTACTTACAAGAGTCCAACATTTGCTTGGCAGAGACAGCTGGGTTTCAACCAAAATCCTTTGCCTCCCTCTTGCATAAAGTAATTTAAGCTTGAATTTCTCTGCTCTGTTAGAGACCACATTTCCTAGACTTCCATGCAGGGAGGCCAGAAACTGTTCACTAATCAGCTGTGAATGAAAGTAATTTGTTTCATATCCTTTCCTTTTTTTTTTTTTTTTTTTTTTTGCTGAAAAGGAAATTGCTATCCTGTAATTTCCTCCCTCCTGTTTCTTCTTCCGGTGGGCTAACACCCAGATAGTCCTACAGCTCATTGTCAACCACCTACCTTAATGACTTGCTGCTCAAAAGGGTGATTTTTGCCCTAGTCAGTTTGGCTCAGTGGATAGAGCTTAGGACTTTGGACTGGAGGGGCTAGGATTCGATTCTGGTCAAGGGCACATAGCTTGGTTGCAGCCTCTGGGCCCTGTGGGGGAGAGAGGTATGAGGCAACCAGTTAATGTATCTCACATCAATGTTTCTGTCTCTCCCTCTCCCATTCTCTCTAAAAATCAATGGAAAAGGAGGATTTTTCTTAAAAAAAAAAAAAAAAAAAAGAAGGGTTCTTTCCTGAGAACTTAGTATCTTAGACATCATCCCAGACCTACCAATCAGAATCTGAATTTTTACAAGGTCCTGGGTGATTCACATTCACATTAAACTTGAAAAGAACTGCTTTAGGGAATGTTGGCCTTTGAATGACCTCATGTAGCAGAGCTATTGCTTTCCCCCACTCATCCATAACTTGTTAGCAATTGAATTTTGATGTCTATTATGGCAGCATAGCATTCACCCTAAAATTATTTGCCTTATCTCATGACTGAAAACTAAGTTATGCATTTATTTAGGAAATGCTTATTGAACACATTTTATAGGTGAAGCACTGTTCCAGGCACCCTCCCCACCCACGGTTTGGAAATATCATATACTAGAGGTCCAGTGCGCAAAATTGCACGAGACCCAGACTCCCGCCGCAACCCAAGACCAATCAGTGCGCCTCCTGGTGACGGGTCCTTTGGTCATTTTGACATTCTGGCCACTGGCTTTTTATAATACAGATGACACATAAAATACTATACATATTTACATATATTTAAATAGTTTGGAATATACATAACATATATACATAATATTTGGGAATAAAACTTCCCAAATTATTTAAGGCTGTTTTTTTTTTCCCCCTCCAAGAGTTTATAATTTAGTAGAGGAAAAAAAGACATAGGGATATTAAAATTATATTTTTATAGGTGCTATAAGAAAGCATAGTCAATATTTGGTGGTTTTTAAAATATATATATTTGTATTGATTTCAGAAAGGAAGAGAGAGAAAGAGAGACAGAAACATCAGTGATGAGAGAATCATTGATTGGCTTCCTCCTACACACCCTCTACTGGCGATCGAACCTGCAACCTGGGCATGTGTGGTTGACCAGAATCAAACCCTGGACCATTCAGTCGCAGGCCGGCGCTCTATCCACTGAGCCAAACTAGCTAGGGCTTTGCTGGTTTTTTTATTTTGTTTTGTTTTGTTTTTAAATAGCAAAGGTGGAAATTTATTTATTTATTTATTTTATATTTTTAAATATATTTTTATTTATTTTTTACAGAGAGAAAGAGAGAGGGAGAGAGAGTTAGAAACATCGATCAGCTGCCTCCTGCACACCCCTTTCTGGAGATGTGCCTGCAACCAAGGTACATGCCCTTGACCGGAATTGAACCCAGGACCTTTCAGTCCACAGGCCGACGCTCTATCCCCTGAGCCAAACAGGTTTGGCAAAGGTGGAAATTTATTGAAGAACAAGTACAGACTCCCATGTCGGGAGGGGGAAAGAGTTCTGTTTCTTTTGTCTGTTTTTTTTTTTTTTTTTTTTTTTTTTTTTTTTTTTAATATCTATTGCAGAATAATGTTTCTCAAAAGATGGCCATGTCCTAATCTCTTGAACCTGTGAATATACCACCTTCTATGCAAAGGGTCTTTGCAGATATAATCAAGTATGAATTTACGGTGAGAAGAGTATCCTGGATTATCCAGGTGGGGCCAAATGTAATCAAGAGGGAGGCAAAGGATCAGAATCTGTGAGGATGGAAGCAGAGGCTGGAGTAGTGCCATTCTTGGAGTAGGCCATGAGACAAGGAACATGGGCAGCCTCTAGGTTCTGAAAATAAGTAAGGAATGAATTCTACATAGAGCCTCTAGAAAGAGTGCAGTCTTACCAACTCCTTAAGGTTAAGACCATTCTTGGACTTCTGTAGGCCAGAACTGTAAAGTGATAAATTTGTGTTGTTTCAGGCCACTAAGTTTATAGTTATTGTTACAAAGTAGCCATAGGAAACTAATACATAGCCCTTCCCTTTGGGGCAGCTCACCTCCTATACCCCAATGTGTCTGAGTGGGAGGCAGAGCCAGGCATTCCTTTCCTCATCATTGGCCAATTATATATTCTTGTTCGGGCTATGGAATCTTGAGGGTATGAGGTAGACAAAGAATTAGTAATTAGTCATGGAGGTGATGGCCAACGTGGCCATACTGTTCCTGTGACATGACTTTGTCCATGTTCCCTGGTGCCCATATCCCTTGGTTCCTATACAATATCTAAGCTTGGTTTGCTGCTTTTCCCATTGATTCTGTTAGCTTACCCTACATTCTGCCAATCAATTTTGTCTCTGGCTTCTGTTGTTTATAGCCAAGAGCTTTGACTAACTCAGAGACCCATGTAGTTAGTGTGCCAATATTTCAGCAATCCTAGTAGATTCTCAGTTTTATGAAGGCAGAACTTTTGTTTGATTCATCGTTGTATCCACAGCTTCTGTGGTATCTTGCACTCAATATATACTTATTACATAAGAGAAGCAAACAGCTACAATGTAATGCTACTTGATAGAAAAGGATAACTGCACGAATAGAACTGATAGAAAAGGATAACTGCACCAGTAGGCTTTAAGTGTTAAATGGAGACTTTAGAGTTGGATACAACTTCTGTTGACCAGATGATGAGGGGCCATTCTAATCAATACACTGTAGGTAATTCACTTTCTGATATTTAGCCCCCTTTTTTTTTTTACACTTTTTATTTTTATTTAGGTTAAGTTATTACCAACATATTCATTATTTAAAGAAGTCAACCTTAAGCAGAAGATTCTATCCATTAGACAGACGCAGATGAGGGCTTAGCAGTGTATGGCACGTGGGGCAAGGTTGCTCTCATCAGTAACTCTCGCTGACATTGAGGAAGGCCAGCTGTGTAACTTTTCTTTTATGCTTTCTTCCAGTTATTAGCAAAACTGCACACCCTCACTTTGCCCCGTTTATCTTACATTCAGATCCTTATGTCCCCCAATAAAGATAGACGTTAGTTATGTGCTTAAAACAAACTTGGTCACGTTTATTTTTGCCACAAAAATCCTTAAAGGGAAGGGCTGTCTATTTTCATTCAGTAAACAGACCGACTTGAGGCTACATTAACAACAACAGATCCCCGACTTTTTTGTAAAAGTGGGGGGGAGACTTCTTTAAAAAGCCGCAGGAACATCCACCACTGCACCAGCAGCCAGGCTGGGCGGGGCCAAGCCCACGTGGCCGGCGGGGGGGCGGGCGCGGGGCGGCGGCGCGCAGTGCGCAGGCGCCCCGCTGAGTGGCGCAGGGGCCGCGAGCCCACGCGCCGCGCCCGCCCGCCCGCCCGCCCTCCGCCGGCCTCCGCCCTCCCGGCCTCCGCCCCCCGCCCTCCCGGCCTCCTCCCCCCGCCCTCCCGGCCTCCTCCCCCCGCCCTCCGGACCTCCTCCCTCTCCGCCCTCCAGGCCCCGCCTCGCCGCCCGGCTCCTCGCCGCCCCCGGCCCCGCGGGCGAACTGCGTGTTGCTGCGTCATCGCTAGTGGCCGGTTTGAATGAAGCTGTCGTCGCTCCCGAGCTGCCGCCGCCAAGCCCGCGCCGCCCTCTCGCCTGCTGCCGCCGCGTCTTCGTGTCCCTCTCCCTCCGCCGCCCTCGCCAGGCCAGCCGCCCGGCGCCGCCGCCTCCCCGCAGCCCGCCATGCCGCTGTACTCCGGTGAGCCCCCCGCGCGCCTCCGGCCCCGCGGCGCCCCGGCCCCGGGCCTGTCAGAGGCCCGGCCCGCGGGGCGGACGCCGGGCTGAGCGCGGGCGGGGGAGGGGCCGGCCGGGCCGGGCCGGGCCGGGGCCGCGCGGCGTGGGCGGGGTGGCCGCGGCGTGGAGGGGCCGGCCTCTCTCCCCCCGATGCCCGTCCGCCCTGCCACACGGGGGAGCGCTGTCCGCGCGGGCCGCCCGGTGGGTGGGCGGGCGCGGGCGTGGAGCCGGGAAGCCGGAGCGCCGGCTCGGGGAGCCGTGACTCTGCAGAATAGTGTCTGCCGCTGCCCTGCCGGGGAGCGGGGCCGGGGAGGGTGCCCTGGGCCCCGGGCCGGCTGGGTGCCGGGGACTGCCTCGTGCTCCGCGGCGGTGGCGGGGCGGGGGGCGCCCAGGAGGGACCTGAGATGGGAGATTATTAGCCTTCTCCATTCATGGGGTTTTCCTCCGCTTGCTTCTTGTGGGATTGTGGCAAAACCCCCTCTTTTGTACTAATTTCTGTTTTGTTCCAAAGTGTGTGTGTGTGTGTGTGTGTGTGTGTGTTTCTTTTTTAAATATAGTATTGATTTTTTACAGAGAAGGAAGAGAGAGGGATAGAGAGTTAGAAACATCAACGAGAGAGAATCATCAATCAGCTGCCTCCTGCACACCCCCTACTGGGGATGTGCCCGCAACCAAGGTACATGCCCTTGACCCGAATCGAACCCGGGACCCTTCAATTCGCAGGCTGATGCTCTGTCCACTGAGCCAAGGTGTTAGCTTTGGGAAGTAGATGAGTATAGGTGACACCTATACGCGGGCATCATTTCCTTTTGATTGGCATTTGTCAGTTTTTTTTTTGCCTGATGGTAGGTAGTCTAAAGGGATTGGCCAGTGATCAAATTTTTAAAAAAATATATTTTATTGATTTTTTACAGAGAGGAAGGGAGAGAGATATGGAGCTAGAAACATCGATGAAAGAGAAACATCAACCAGCTGCCTCCTGCACATCCCCCCACCGGTGATGTGCCCGCAACCAATGTACATGCCCTTGACTGGAATCGAACCTGTGACCCTTCAATCCGCAGACTGACGCTCTACCACTGAGCCAAACCGGTTTTGGCGATGTGATCAAATTTTTAATCAATGGACCTTCCTGTTTCCTATTCTGATTCAAGATGGCAGCTAAGATGTACATGGTGGCTTCAGTTGTTGGCTGTGGATGTGTGTGACTCGTTGGCCATACCCTGACTATCATAATTCCTTTATTGAAGATTCAGCATTTTAAAAGGAAGACAGGGAACAAGAAAGTAATGCTTTACATTGAGGTGGATTCTTGATCTAGGTTCTTCGATTGAATGCTTAGTAGTGATTACTCAAGCTATTTCTGTAATTATTAGCAGTAGAATAATGACACAGTAATTAACAGTAGAACCACACTTGAAATACATTGATGCAGTATAGAGTTGAGAGAGCTCTAATGTTGATAAATCCCACTGTAGGCTAATACTTACACACGTAGATACACATTATGCTAAAACCAGCCCCTCTTGTTCCCCTAAAAATATGCCTATATTCACCAACCCGTCGATTTTAAAAATTGAGTTCCTTCTTAAATATTCAGTCAAACTTTCCCTTCTTTCCAAAATAGAAGAATTGAAGTCGATTTGTAAGGTTTCTTCCTTTGACATCTCTGTATTGAGAATCTGTATTTTCAGGTTCTGCAAAAAGCCCTATTTTAAAAGGAGAACATTTTAAGTACTATTTCATAAGTTTTGGTAGAAAATTAAGTATCCAGATTTTTTTTTTAAATATATTTTATTGATTTTATACAGAGAGGAAGAGAGAGAGAGAGAGTCAGAAACATCGATGAGAGAGAATCATCGATCAGCTGCCTCTTGCACACCCCCCACTGGGGATGTGCCCGCAACCAAGGTACATGCCCTTGACCGGAATCGAACCTGGGACCTTTCAGTCCCCAAGCGGACGCTCTATCCACTGAGCCAAACCGGTTTCGGCATAAGTATCCAGATTTTTATATAGTTAAGGTAAGTGCCACAAAACTCAGTGAGCACCTGTGTGCCTGATACAAAGCTAGTGTTTTGTACATGTGGCTCTGTTTCAATCTGCAACATAATCCTGAGATGCGGGTCTAATTCTCCTTTATGGGTTAGCAAAAAAGTTTAAGTAACTTGCCCATGTGACAGCGAAGTACATTTCGGATAGGTTCCTCTTCTAAATTGTTTTGGTTTAGTCCTATATTTTGCTTGTGCTATTATGTTTTTAGCTTATCTCAATGTCTACAGTTGTACCCTCTTTAATTTCCCTGCTGCTGCTAGCATAATCTAATGTTCAAACCAGGTTATTTTAACCTTTTCTTCTCCATTTCACTATTGTTAGACTATACATAAGTTCATAGAGTCTTCTCTAATGCTTGTTACTGGGCTTATCATTGAGTGAATGCTGAATATATTAATTGAACTGATGAAAGAATTGGTATTTGGAGTCAGGGTCAGTTTTTCATATTCTGATTTTAGTAATTGGAAATCAGACAGCTGATAGTTGTGAGATTCTCATTTTAAATAGGTATAAAGTTTTTAGTGGAAACAGACTATATCCTTGAGTTTATTTATTTTTACATATTTCAGAAATTAGCTATTTTATTAGACTAATTGAAAGTTTTTTATTGGCTGGTTGAAATTTTCTTATGATAAAGTATATGTAACATAAAATGTACTATTTTAATCATTTTTTAATGTTTTTGGCTTTCAGTACATTCACATTGTTGTGTAATCATCATTACTAACCACCTCCCAAACTTTTTCATGTTTCTAAACTGAAATTGTTTCATTGAACAATATGCTCCCTTTTCTATTTCCTCCGTTCTGCTTTCAGCTTCTGAATTTGACTACTCTAGTACCTCATAATTGGAATCATACAATAATTGTCCTTTTGTGTCTGCCTTATTTCGCTTAGTACCATATATATTGTTTCCAAGATTTATCCATGTTGTACCGTGTGTAAGAATTTCATTACTTTTTACAGATAATATTCATTGTGGATATATGCCATATTTTGTTCACCCATTTATCTGTTGATGGACACTTAGGATGCTCCCATCTTTTGGCTATTGTGCATAATGCTGGGTATAAAATACCAGTTTCAGTCCCTGCTTTACATATTTTTTGGTGTTCACCTAGAAGTAGAATTACTGGATCATATGGTAATTCTATGTTTAATTTTGTTAGGTACTGCAATACGTTTTCCCACAATGCCTGCACCATTTTATAATCTTATTAACAATTTTCACCACATTATTTTCTAAAGGGATATTTGAATGCCTGTGAAGTAGGATTTCAATATTTTTTTATTGATTTAATTATATCTTTATACAACTAAAGAAATATATAATTAATAATATTTGACCATCTTGTGCTCAGGAACCATACTTTTTAATTCTTAGAATTCAGAATCTTTTTTTCTTAACTTGTTTTAAATATGCTTTTATCTCCCCAATTTTTTCTCTCTCCAATTACTTCTCCTCTATTCCAACAATATGTAGATTTTAATGACTTCTTAATTAAATACATTTTGAAGTCTGTGAATCTTATTCTGGGAAATATTTCAGTGTGATCATATTTTGTAGAAATTATTGATACAGGATTCTTTACTAAGAATATTTACTAAGTAGTCTTTTTTACTGTAGTAAGTCAACCAAATTCTCTTAACTGTGGTTTTCTTATTTATCAAATGAGAAGTTGGTTTAAATACAGTTAAATTTTGTTCAGGACCCTATTGCATCATGTCACTTCTAACTTAGTATAGGCATTATGAACATAAAAAGATGAATGATATCATTTGGCTTTCAAGAACTAGCCTTCTGCCGGCACCGGTTTGGCTCAGTGGATAGAGCGTCTGCCTGTGGACTGAAAGGTCCCGGGTTCGATTCCGGTCAAGGGCATGTACCTTGGTTGCGGGCACATCCCCAGTAGGGGCTGTGCAAGAGGCAGCTGGTCGATGACTCTCTCTCATCGATGTTTCTAACTATCCCTCTGTGAAAAATCAATAAAATATATTAAAAAAAAAAAAAAAAAGAACTAGCCTTCTTCTCAAAGTCCTGTTATTTTATAAATGAAAAGAATAAATTATGGTTTTGTTTGCAGTTACTGTGAAGTGGGGAAAAGAGAAATTTGAAGGTGTAGAATTGAATACTGATGAATCTCCAATGGTGTTCAAGGCTCAGCTTTTTGCACTGACTGGAGTCCAGCCATCCAGACAGAAAGTTATGGTGAAAGGAGGAACATTGAAGGTAAAATTTAGTCCATATTTTCATAATATACTATCAGAGGCACAGTGCAAGAAATTCATGCACTCGAGGCAGGGGCAGGAGGGGGTCCCTTAGCCTGTCCTTTGCCCTCTCACAGTCCAGGAGCCCTCAGGGGATGTCTGACTGTTGGCTGTAAGTCAGCAGTCGGACATTCTTAGTTGCTGCCACCGCTGCTGCACCTGGATTCTGCCTGAGCAGCACTCCCCCCACCCCCTTGTGGTCAATGCGCGTCATAGTGAACAGTCGTTTTGCCATTTGGTCGATTTGTATATTAACCTTTTATTGTATAGGATTATTATTTAATTAGTGGAAGGTAGCATATGAGTTTTTTTTATTTGGTGAGTATGTAGTAAGGGATTATAACTATTTTATTCATGTTAGTGTAAGGAGGAACACTGTAGCCATTTCAAACATTATATTATAAAAGCATCACTAAATTTTTTATTTTCAAATGCACTATATTAATGAATATCTCTGTGGATCGTGGGAGTCAGGTCAAGCCCTGGTTTTGAAATACTGGAAAACCGTTAATTTTTTCCTGTTGCTTTTCTTGCACCCTACCCATTAAAAAAGAACTTCATTCTCTTAAGAATTATTGCTTGCTTTCTTTTTTTTTTTTTTTTTTTTAATATATTTTATTGATTTTTTACAGAGAGGAAGGGAGAGAGATACAGAGTTAGAAACATCATGAGAGAGAGTCATCGATCAGCTGCCTCTTGCACACCCCCTACTGGGGATATGCCCGCAACCAAGGTACATGCCCTTGACCGGAATCGAACCCGGGACCCTTCAGTCCCCAAGCCCACACTCTATCCATTGAGCCAAACCGGTCCCGGCTTGCTTTCTTATTTATTTATTTTTATTGTTTGAAGTATTACAAATAGTAATATATATGTCTCCTTTTTCCCCCCTTTGACCTCCCCCAGCATATGCCTTCACCTGCCCCCCCACCCCAGTGTCTTGTATCCATTGGTTATGTTTATATGCATGCATATAAGTCCTTTGATTGATTTCTGACAGCCCCTCCCCCCAACCTCCCCTGCCTTCCTGCTGTAGTTTGACAGTCTATTAAGAGTTATTGCTTTCTAACACCTATCTGAAGGTGGGAGAAAAAAAAAATTGTTAAAAAAAATAGAGAATTAAATTTTTTATATTTCCCTTGGAATGATCACATTGACTACAGTTAAGAGTCCAAGCTTACTAGAATCATTGATGAAGGACCACAAAAAAAGACGCGAAGGTATTTTCTTCATTGTTGTTTATAATACTGTATAAATATAGCTTTAAAGACATATTTCAAGAGTTAGATATGGAATGCTAAAGAGCTATAGAGATAAGGGCTGGCTAACCCTATTAACTGGGTAGTAAAACAGATGTTGGTGAAGAAACATTATTTTCCCTCCAAGTGCAGTATGAACTTTTAGTCATTGACTGGAGGCCTGGTGTACAAAATTCGTGCACTCGAGGGGGTCCCTCAGCCCAGCCTGTGCCCTCTCCCTGACGGAGCCCGTGGGGGATGTCTGACTGATGCCTCATCAGACATCCTCAGTGCCGTCAGTCAGACATCGTAGTGCCGCTGAGGAGGCAGGAGAGATTCCTGCTACCACCACTGTGCCTGCCAGCCATGTGCCTGCTTCTGGCTGAGCTGCACTCCCCCTGTGGGAGTGGACTGACAACCAAGGGGCCGCTCCTGCATTGAGCATCTGTCCCCTGGTCAATGTGCATCATAGTGACTGGTCATTCTGCCCTTTGGTCAATTTGCATATTAGCCTTTTATTATATAGGATAATTTCTGCTGAGCTGTGTGCAGGCATCCCTCAGAGATAATGCTGGTTTGGTTCCAAACCATTGCAGTGAAGTCTATTAAGTGTGCAATAGCATTATGTTTAGAAAAGTAATGTACATACTTAGTTAAAAAATACTTTATTGCTAAAAAATGATAATTTTCTGAGCCTTCAAATTTTCACTCGAGGAGGGTCTTGTAAAAATCATAATAACTGCAAAGTGCAATAAAGCAAAGGTAGTAAAACAAGGCATGTCTAAACTGGTGTAGTACTATAGGGAATTATAGAAAAATGCTAATTAAATGAAATTGCCTACTATATAACTATCACTTATTGAATACATACTTTGTGTCAGGCTTTTATTATTTAAAAAAGTTCTCATCTGTGTATATTTAAAAATGATGAAAATAATTGCATTTTATATATTTTATAAATCAGAAAATAGCATTATAGAGTTTTAAGTAAGATACCAAAAGGAAATATGTACAAGTCAAGTAGATTTGGGTTTATTTCCCAGCTCTTGTGACCTTGGGTAAGTAAGTGCTCTTAGAGGGCATATATAGTTATTCATACTTATGATTAGCAGTAGTAGCCCTTAAACTGAGAAGTCTTTTTTAAAATTTTATTAGTATATTTGTATTGAGTTCAGAGAGAGGAAGGGAGAGGGAGAGAGAGATAATCATTAATGATGAGAAAGAAACATTGATCAGCCTTTACTGGGAATTGATCCTGCAACCTTGGCAGGTGCCTCAACCAGGAGTCGAACTGTGATCTGGTTCATAGGGCGATGCTCAACCACTGACCCACCAGGGCCGGGTGAGGAGGAGAGTCTTTAGGAAGTTATTGTGCCACTTTGAAGCAGGGTGTCCGGAGAGATAATTAGTGACACCCACAAAGGGAAACAAATTGAGTGCCTGGAACTTTCCTAAAAAAAATGGAGTAATATAGAACTGACTTTATTCTGTATAGAAAAGGGCATACATGGCTTTAGTAGGCCAAAATATCTGTGAACCACTCATGGTATTAAGAAAAAAATTTTGATTTAATTGAACATATTCAAGTAAAAGTATTGGTTGTTTCATAGATGTGAAATGGGACAGAACAAGTATTATTAAGGGTTACTTTGCATTGGGTGGTCCTGTTTACTCTCCTGGAACCATTTTTAATAGCATTTTATCAAGAGTCTCCAGATTTGAATGATAAATTCTGTAATTGCCCTAATTATGTAGACCTTATTCATGTTACTCTTCATTCTTGTCACCTAAGGTAGTTATTGGATCTGCTGATTCCAAACATGCAACGAACATGCAGAAATTAGCATTTTTCATTTGTCATCAATCAGGTGTTTTTTTAGTACTTTTGGTGCTGCCAGGTTTACTGTCTTAGATTGTGTCTTATGTAGTTTAAGCAATTAATAGACAGTATCTCTAGGATTGCATGTGTTTTTAAAAAATACTTTGATTACAATAATTTAAATTAAAATCTGACAGAAAAATTTTGAGTAGCTTATAATTAGTTGATTATTAGAATATGCTCGATTGTACAGGGTTGATTAAAAGTTTTTTATTTGTCTTTAAAACAGGATGATGATTGGGGAAACATCAAAATAAAAAATGTAAGTGTAATCCTAAGAACACTTTATTATAATGTAATTTTCTAATTATTATTTTGAAATATATTCCAAATGTCCTTTTTTCCATGTGTACAATAAGTTGTTTCAGCAACATCTGTGGAAAATACTTTCCTCTTCCCATTGACTTGTATTGGAAACTTCCTTGAAAATTGATTGTATGTTTGTTTTTGGCCTCTTGTTTCATATATATATTAGATTAAACTTGTACCACTACCATATTCTGATTACTAAAGCTTTATAAGTCTGGAAATAAGATAGTGTAAGTTCTCTAACTTTTTCTTTGAGACTATTTTAGCTCCTTTGAATTTTTTGTGTAATTTTAGAGAAGTCTGTCAATTTCAAATGGACTCCTGGAATTTTGTTTGAGATTACATTGAATTACTAGTTCAATTTGGAGAGAATGCATATCATAATAGTATGGAGTATTAAAATCCTTAAATATGATCTAATTCTTTGTTTAAGTCTTTATATTATTCTCTTAGCAGAGCTATAGTTTTTCATTTCAGCAGAGAGATTTTGCATGTTTTTTTGTTAGATTCATGGAACTTAATGTTTCTTAGCCATTGAAAATACTTAAAAAATGTGTTTTCCAATGTTCATGGCTAGATTATAAAAATAAAGTATATTTGTATCCATATACTCACCAGCACTTCTTTGTTGATTAATTTATGGTTGCCATTCTGGCAGGTATAAGGTCAGATAACTCATTGAAATTTATTTTGCATCTCTGATGTAGTGACTTTGAAGATTTTTTTCATGTGTCTGTTGGCCATCTGTATTCTCTTTGGAGAAGTATATTTAGGTCCTTCGTTCTTTTTTTAATTGGATTGTTTGTCTTCCTGGTATTGAGGTATATGAGTTCCTTGCATATTTTGGAAACTAAATTCTAATCAGATCCTTACCATTAGCAAATGTTTTCTCATACAGTGGGAAGACTTTTAATTAAGAATTTAGTGTGTTTAAATAAATGAAGGGCTATCAGATAGTATATTTCTTTTATATCAGTTTTGGTAGTTTGCATCTTTTAAGGCATTGGCATGTTAAATTTAAGTTGAATTGATTGGCATACTATACTTTTAATTCTAGATTCTGTAGTGCTGTGTTTTCTTTCTTTCCTTTCCCCCTGGGTATTGGCAAATTGTGATTTCTTAGCTATTGTCGTGGATATGAATTTGCTACATGAATGAAAGATTTTATAAAGTTTCTAATAAAGGTTTTATAGTTCAAAAAGAAATTTCATTAAATTTAGATAATTTGGAATCATGTTTTTACAATAATTTTTCCAGTTCTGTCTGGACCTGTCATGTCTTTCAGTTTACTTAGATGTTTTTTATATCCCTAACTAGAGCTTTATGGTTATAATCTTTATGGACACACACACACACACACACACACACACACACCCTATCTAATAAAAGAGCAATATGCAAATAGACCATCACTCCAACTCCTCCATTTGGCTGCCCCCATGTGGACATAAGGTGACTGCCATAAGATGGCCTGCAGGGGAGGGCAGTTATGGGCTATCAGGTCAGCAGGGGAGGGCAGTTGGGAGGGACCAGGCCTGAAAGGGAGTGCAGTTGGGGGCGATTAGGCTGGCAAGGGAGGGCAGTTAGGGGTGACCTGGCTGGCAGAGGAGGGCAGTTGAGGTCAATCAGGCCTGTAGGGATGGACAGTTGGGGGTGGAACCAGGCCAGCAGGAGAGAGCAGTTAGGGGCGACCAGGCGGCAGGAGAGGGCATTTGGGGTGACTAGGTCTGCAGGGGAGGATAGTTAGGGGTGAACAGGCCTATAGGGGAGGACAGTGGGGGCGACCAGGCTGGCAAGAGAGAGCAGTTAGGGGTTACCGGGCCAGCAGGGGAGGACAGTTAGGTGCAATTGGGCTGGCAGGGAAGTGGTTAGGGGCTATCAGGCTGGCAGACAGGCAAACAGTTGGGAGCCAGCAGTTCTGTATTGTGAGAGGGATGTCTGGGTTTGGGACTAAACGGGCAGTTGTGCATCCCTCAAGGGGTCCCAGATGGGAGAAGGTGCAGGCTGGGCTGAAGGACATCCCCCCCTATGCACGAATTTCATGCACTGGGCCTGAAATTCTGGTGCACGCTTGCGTGTGCGTGCAAACACACATACATATGTATTGATTTCAGTGAGGAAGGGAGAGGGAGGAAGGGAGGAAGAGAGGGATGGATAAAGAAAGAGAGAGAATGAGAGAGAGAGAGGGGGGGGGGAACATCAATGATGAGAATCATTAATCATCTGACTCCTGCATGTCCCACACGGGATCGAGCGAGCGAGAGAGAGAGAGAGAGAGAGGAACATCAATGATGAGAATCATTAATCATCTGACTCCTGCATGTCCCACACGGGATCGAGAGAGAGAGAGAGAGAGAGAGAGAGGGGAACATCAATGATGAGAATCATTAATCATCTGACTCCTGCATGTCCCACACGGGATCGAGCCCGCAACCTGGGCATGTACCTTGCCTTGGAATCGGAACAGTGATCTCCTGGTTCATAGGTAGACACTCAACCACTGAACTGTGTTGGCAGGGCTATGGTATATTCTTATTACATGTTTCTTGTTATGTTTTCTTTTAGATATTTGTTGGTATTCTTTTTTATTGTATTTCCTAACTGGCTATTGGTAATATATTCTTTAAATACATGGTTTTCCTGAGACAGTTGTCTTTGGAAAAAGATTCTTTAGTGATAGCTTAGTACTGCTTTGCTATTATTTTATAATTAAAAGCGTGGTGCACAAAATTTGTGCCCTCTGGGGGTGTCCCTCAGTCCGGCCTGCACCCTATCACAGACCGGGAGCCCTTGGGGAATGTCTGATTGATGGCTTAGGCCTGCTCCCCATGGGAGAAGGAGAATCTCCTGCCACCACCGCTGCACTCGCCAGCTGAGAGCCTGGCTTCTGGCTGAGGAGCACTCCCCCTGGTGGTCAGTGTGTATCATAGCCACTGGTTATTCTGCTGTTGGGCTGAAACCAGACCTTGACATCTCCTAAGGGATCCTGGATTGTGAGAGGGCATAGGCTAGGCCAAGGGACCCCACTGGTGCACGATTGGGGCCAGGGAGGGATGTGGGAGGTTAGCCAGCTGGGGATGAACTGCAGTAGGGCTCTAGGGCATGTCTAACCTGTCTCAGTCCGAAGGTAACCTGGAGCGTCTGCCCCCTAGAGGTCAGTGCTCCTCATGGCGAGTGGTTGAGTAGCCTTAGCATATTATGCTTTGATTGGATGAATGGCTGACCAGACACCTGGACACTTAGCATATTAGGCTTTTATTATATAGGATAATTTTTTAAGTAAAAATAACAGGTGATAGGAGGAGGGTTGTAGGAGGGTTGTTGGAGGGTTGTTGGAGATACATAGGTATCTCTTTAAGACTATGAGTTCATTGACCTTATTAATTTACTAATTTTAATCCTAATGTAAACATTTTTTATTTTTATTTTATTTTTTTGTTAAACCACTCTGTTGTTATTGTTTTTAAACCTTTGTACCTTTTTCTTTGTTTCATGTGTTAATACCTTCCAGTAAGATATTGAGTAAAATTTTGTTCACATTTCAGGGAATTAAGAGATTCAGGGTGACAATGTCTTTATTGATCTTTTGTTGTATAAATTGTTACATATGTATTGAATATAAGTTTTCAGTTAGGTTAATGTGTGGAATTCTAAAATTGAGTATCTTGAACTTATGTGTTTGGTTTGATGTTTTCCAGTAATGGAGTTTTAAATGTTCTCAATATTTTTATTCAACTGTAAACAATTGTTACAGTTACATAATAGATACGTATAGAAAAATTTTTTATCAGGCTTAATTTATTTGTTATGGGAAGAAATTGTACCATTAAATGTTAATGATCATTTGAAGAATTCCCTTCTCTGTAGTATGTAAACATTCTCAACTTTGTTTGTGACAGTATTTTTTCCTTTAGCTTTATTGATTTATAATTTTTATAGAGCATAATTTACCTTTTTTTAGTGTGTAGTTTGATGAATTTAGTTAATTTTGTATAGTCCTTTAACCTCACCACAATCAAGATACAGAAGTTCCATCACTAAAAAGTTTCCTTGTGTCTCTTTGCCAATAAGCTGGCTACCTCTGGCCTGAAGAAGACATTTTATACTTAAAAAAAATTTTTTTTTTTATAACTCAGTAATTTTTAGTATATCTACTAGAGTTGTGAAATCTCCACAGTCTAATTTTAGGATATTTCCATTACCCTGAAAGAAATGCACATCTATTTCAAGTCACTTCTCTTCCCACCTTGAGTCCTAACAACTGCTAATCTACATTGTATCTCTATCTAACAGGGCATAACTCTACTAATGATGGGGTCAGCGGACGCACTTCCTGAAGAACCCTCAGCTAAAACTGTCTTCGTAGAAGACATGACGGAAGAACAGTTAGCATCTGCTGTAAGACAAGCCACATTTTATATAACCACTGCTTTCCGGAAGTACAGTTAATGAGGTGCCTTTCAGAAAGTAGCACAGGAATGCTTTGAAGATTTAATATTTAATATCAAGATGTATTCATTATAAAGGCAATTAATATCTGTAATAAATGTAAGTCTGGCAGGTAGTCAGCACTATTTAATGTTTACTATTTATGTGGAAATAGGCTTAGAGAGATTAAGTAGTTTAAATGCTGGGACATTTAAATTCTTAAAACCTTCAATTTTGAAAATACAAGTTATTCTCAATTTAAATGCAATGTTGGTTTAGAAAGTGATCACCATACACTTGTCAAATGTTGTTATTAGTTTTACAACCCATCATTTATATAGTACCATTCCTTATTTTTGTAAGTATTTCTAAGTGTATTTTATCATGCTGTTTTAATGATAAGCCTGAAGGGGGGCAGGATTGATATGACTATCCTGTCCTTTTAAAATTTTCAAGAAAGGAATTAAAACAGAAAATAACTATTAGTATTATGTAAGGAAAAACTTTTGTTGGGGAAATAAACGTTACTTTAGGGTAAAAGTGGGATATACGTTGGTATAAGTTGGAAATTTTACTTGCTTAAAGTGTGTACTTTAGTGATTTATATATGCTACTAGAGGCCTGATGCATGAAATTCGTGCGGGAGGAGGGGGGTGAGGGCTGGGGGAGTACCCTCAGCCCAGCCTGCATCCTCTCCAATCTGGGATCCTCTCCAATTCTGGACCACAGGCTCTTAATCGCTCACCTGCCTGCCTGCCTGATTGTCCCAAACTGTCCCCCCTGCCAGTCTGGTTGCCCCTAATTGTCCCCACTGCTGGCCAGGTCACCCCAAACTGCCCCCTTCGTGCTGGCCTGGTTGCTCCCAACTGCCCCCCCCCCCCCGCTAATCTGATTGCTCTTAACTGAACCCCCTCCCCCTGCCGGCCTGGTCCCCCCTAACTGCATGCAGGGCCCCTTTCCTCCCCCTGCGTGGTCACCTCTTGCTGCCCACCCTAACTGCCCCACCCCCCCACCGGCCTGGTTGCCCCTGCAGTCTGCTTGTTTAGTTGTTTGATCATCTCTCACTAACCCCCCCTGCTGGCCTGGTTGCCCCACACAGCCTGCTTGTTTGGTTGTCCCTCACTAACCCCCATCAGCCTGGTCGTAGGCAGTCATCTTGTGAGGGTGTGAGGGTCAATTAGCATATTATCTCTTTGTTATATAGGATGTCACTTTATAAAAAATTATTTCTCTTATCAGATGGAGTTACCATGTGGATTGACAAACCTGGGTAACACTTGTTACATGAATGCTACAGTTCAGTGTATTCGTTCTGTGCCTGAACTCAAAGATGCTCTTAAAAGGTAAGACAAAAAATAAGTCTTTTTTAGGTAAAAGAGGTTCACATTTGTGTAGTGTTGTTTTGTTTGTGTGTGCATATCATAAAAATAAAGAGCTAATATGCTAATGGTCAGGATGCCATCTGCGGGTGTGAGGCAGGGCATTGCTCCGGAGACGGGGCGGAAGCTGGGAAGTACCCAGAGGAGGCAAGAACATCCCGGGGCGGGGTTGGGGTGTGTGTGTGTGTGTGTGAGGACCCGGAGTACCCCCTCACCAGTCCTTCACCACCCACTGCTTGCACTCGGAATGCCCCGCTGCCCACCTGCCAGGGGAAGAAGCACAGCGCAGCAGGCGAGAGGCTTCCATGCTCTCCTCTGACACCATGACAGGGCAGAGCAGCCACATTGCTCTGGAGATGGGGCAGAAGTAGGGAGGCACCTGGAGAAGGCAGGGACCAGCCCAAGGCAACTCGAGGGAATGAGGGCAGGGCTTGAAGTGGCCAGAGAAGGCCAGAGGGGTCGGAGGCTGGGCCAGGCTGGCTGTAGTTTTGCGTGGAGAGAATTGTCTTAATTATATTCACAAAGTTGTGCACAATCAATACTTCTAATTTCAGAATATTCCCTACCCACCCCACCCTAAAGAAACCTCATACTCATTAGCAATCCCTTCTTATACCTTCCCACCTGCAACTCCACATTCTTGTCTTCAGCGATAACACTCATTTTCATTTTAGTAGATATATAGTATGTAAGCATAGTTTTGATTATAGTAAATATTCAATCTCTCTCCTATTCTTAATGTTTGAATATTACCTGAATGATCATTTCTAATCTTTTGTCATAAAATATATTGTATTAGTAAATACTGTGGTTTGAATATTTTTTTTGGAAAGCTAGTTTTTTTGTATTACTATATCGTAACAGAATTGTAGAGCTGAAAGTAGATTTAGAAATCATTTTATAGAAAGTGCTCATTTTATAGGTGAGCAAACTATCTAGAAATTTAAATGACTTAGTTTTGAATATAGGCAAATTGATTTTGATTTAATGTTTTTGATTTAATGTCTTTTCATTATTTTGAAGTTTTATTTTACTTTCTTTGTAATAGACAGTTAATTTATACTTTTTGTTTTACACTGTTTTCAGAAAACGTTTGGTATAGATGAGTTAGACAAGGGGAAATTAAAATATTTTTATTGATTTTAGAGATGAAGGGAGAGAGTTAGAGAGAGAGAGAGATAGAAACATCAATGATGAGAATTATTAATCAGCTGCCTCTTGCTCGCCTCCTACTGGGGATTGATCCCGCAACCCAGGTTTGAGAATGAATTGAATTCTAATTATCTAATTCTGCTTTAATGTCCGTAGGTATGCTGGTGCCTTGAGAGCTTCAGGGGAAATGGCTTCAGCACAATATATTACTGCAGGTCAGTATCTTAAAAATACATACTTTCAAGAGAGAGTATAATATCTAATAAATGTTATTTTTACTTACAGTTTGTGTCTATCAATTTATAAAATTGTTTTCTAAAACGTTACCTCATTAAAATTGGTCTACTTACTGTGAACATCTGGGGATTTATTTTATTATTCAAACTAGGGGCCTAGTGCATGTTGAAAGGAATCGTGGGCCGTGAGATTGTGGCAGGCACAGGGGGCAGGTCTTGGCCCATCCTCCGCACCCCTGCTCGGCCCCTCCCACTGCAGTCCCCCTGTCCCCTGTCTGCCGGAAGCCCACTCCTGCCTTCACCAATTGCACCTGCTGATGGTGCAAAGTGATTGGGGCTGGCGCCAGCAGCGGGTACAACCAGCAGCTGCTGCCCCATCGCCCTTCAGGAGCAGGTGGAGGTGCAGAAGCCCTCAGGGATGACCAGGGCGGGCAGCTGCTGCCTTCATCCACTGATGGTGCCTAGTGATTGGGATTTCAATATTCAGGAGTTTAGTAGATGGGGACCAAGTAAAGGAAAGTGAGTTAGGAGTGAAGACCTGATGGCTTGATAATGGCATAGAGGCAGAACAGTAACATTATACTGTTTGATCTCTAGACAGAAGTTACACGTATTTGTATTGAATTAATATATACCTTGCTTTTTTTGGGAAAACAGCAGCTGGAAAGGAGAGAGGGGCAGGGCTCAGAAGTTGTTTATAGCTAGTGATTGCAGTATAAATTCTGGTGAGTTCATTAAGATTTGAAAACCAATCTTTTTCTTATTAGAGATTGAATAATTGCAAAAGGAATAAATGTACATAAATTATTAAGCATTTTTTTTTGTCTATTGCAATTGAAATTTAATTTATAGTAGCATGTGTTAAATATGCCACCCTTACTAAGGTACTGTTGCTTTGTTTTTAAGCTCTTAGAGATTTATTTGATTCCATGGATAAAACGTCTTCTAGTATTCCACCTATTATTCTACTGCAGTTTTTGCATATGGCTTTTCCACAGTTTGCAGAGAAGGGCGAACAAGGACAGTATCTTCAACAGGTAATCAGGTCAAGGTTCTTGGTTTTCATTTTATAAAGGTAAATCTTAGGTTTCCTACATTTATACTTATTGGAATATATTTAGAAATAAAAATATACATCATCTAGTTCTATTATGTCTTGCCTGGCATGATGCAATATTCTATTAACTGATCTTCTTGCTCTGTTTTTGTTTCTTTGCAATGTTTCTCTATATAGTCCCCAGAGGCCTTTTAAAATGTAAATAAGATTATGTTGGCCCCATATTCAGTACTTACTAGTGATTTTCTATCCCTAAATAAGCTAAATCCTAAATAACCCTAGCCTGTGGCTACCTTTCTGAACTCATCAGATGCCACCGTCTTCCTTGCTTTTCTCCAGATACTGCTTTCCTTGCTTTTTTTAAAAATATGTTTTAATTGATTTGAGAGAGAGAGAGAGAGAAAGAGAGAGAGAGAGAGAGAGAGAGAGAGAGAGAGAGAGAAGAGAGAGAGAGAAATATCAATGATGAGAGAGAATCATTGATTGGCTGCCTCCTGCATGCCCCCTACTGGGGATTGAGCCTATAACCCATGATATGTCCTGACCAGGAGTTCAACTGCGACTTCGGTTCATGGGTTAATGCTCTACCACTGAGCCACACTGACAGGGCTTCCTTGCTAATTTTTAAACCCTCCATGTATCCTTGTTCTGCAGGGCCTTAGCTCTTGTTCCCTTTGGCTCTCAGTGCATGACTTTCCTCCTTACCTACAGGTCTCATGACTCAAATGTCAAGGCCTCAGAGAGACTTTCTTTGACTGTTCTGTTGAAATAGCACACTTTCCTTGCATCAATCAATTTTTGCTCCTGTATTACTTGCTCCCCCCTTTATAACTCTTCTTTGAACTTAAATAAATGTTATATATTTTTTATCTGTGTTTCCCATTTGATTTTTATTTTATTTACTGCTATGTATTCCTAGTGTCTAGAACAATGTTTAGCATAATTAGGAAGTCAGTCAACATGTTTTGAATGACTAAAAAAAAAACACAAACTATTTTGGAATTTTTGTTTTGAAGATCATAAAATATTTGATCTTTGGCTTAACATTTTTAAAGAAAAAAAGTACTTTCTTTAAGAACACGAATTATTTGGGGAGGATTCTATAGACCAAGCACTGTCTCAGCCAAGATTACTTACTATTCATTTTAAAAATTACAGGATGCTAATGAATGTTGGATACAAATGATGCGAGTATTGCAACAGAAATTGGAAGCCATAGAGGATGATTCTGTAAAAGAGGTAATCTATACCATAAAAGGCCTGTGGTCGTGACACTGTAAGGGTGGGGTGGGGCGTGAGCTACTCACTGCAGAGAGCTACTGGGGGCAGAGAGCTACGAGTGGCGGAGGGCTGGCCAGCTGAGGCAAGCGAAGCAAGCTACTCGCACACGATTTTGTGCAAGCAGGGCCTCTAGTTTAAATATATTTTGATTACAAATCTTCATTGTACCTTGGTTCATCCCTACCTTATGTAAAATGTAAAATGCAGTAAGTTCATATAAAGGCTTAAAATAAATTCATTTTAATGAATGGACATGTACTTGAATACTTTAGATGGTAAATCTGTAGTTGGAATTTGGAAGTTTGCACTTGACACTTGAATTCAATGCATTGTATTAAATTTAATTAATTGATATTGTGCATCTGTAGTTTTTTGGTAATATTTTTTGAGCAGTAGAAGGATTATGGAGAAAAGATTGCATTTTAAGAAACTTACATTTGGGCCTAACTGGTTTGGCTTAGAGGATAGAGCGTCGGCCTGTGGACTGAAAGGTCCCAGGTTCTATTCCACTCAAGGGTTGCGGGCACATCCCCAGTTAGGAGTGTGCAGGAGGCAGCTGATCGATGTTTCTCTCTATCATTCATGTTTCTATCCCTCTCTGTAAAAAATATTTAAAAAACAAAACAAAAACAAAAACCAACTTACATTTGTATTACTAAACTGGATTGTGTGGAAGGTAACATATATTAATAAACACGTTTTTAATTTTTGCAGACAGATTCTTCATCTGCATCAGCAGTGACACCATCTAAAAAGAAAAGTTTAATTGACCAATACTTTGGAGTTGAGTTTGAAACTACGTATCCTTATGAGCCAAGATATATATAAACTACTCAGAACTTCCTAGAAGCGTATGAAGTGAATTGCTGTAAATACGTTGGCTGATTGGAGTGATGGTGGTGGGGGGTGGGTGGAGGAAGGAAGGAAAATTCTTTAGAGGTTTTTATGTTTAAAACATGTCATGGAAATATGAAATTTGGAGACGTATACCCACTGTAGTGATCTTAAAGGTTAGAGAAGTGTATGTACTTTAAGGATATTCATTATTTTTTCTTACATCTTTAACATAGTCAACTTTATTAATTTGCCTCAGAGAATTTTTAATTGTATGAAATAGAGTGTACCAGCTATATACATGAGATTGAACCAATTCATAAAACATGAATTTAGGGAAGTATTATTTTCTAGCTGATGGGTAGAAACTTAAAAAATATTTCTCTTTGTGTATCTTTTGGTTAAGACCATGTAAATAGCAGCTTAGTTTTCTTTAATGTTTATCCTTTTCTTACATTCATAACTCAATATTGTTGGTAAGCGAATAAACATTTAAAGTATGTTGAAATAAATCTCTATTGGAAGACCAAAATGTTTTAAATGCTAATGAATGGTGCTATTAATTTTAATAGCATTAGCCATTTTCCTTATCTTACTTTGCACAGCATGAGATGCACAGAATCTGAAGAAGAAGAAGTCACTAAAGGAAAAGAAAATCAGCTTCAGCTTAGTTGTTTTATCAATCAAGAAGTCAAGTATCTTTTTACAGGACTTAAATTGGTAAGAACAATTGGAATTGATCATTATTTATGAATTCTGTATTTGCAAATGCACCTACTCGCTAAAATTTATTTTTGACCCAACATCAATACTTGTGGTGTTTTCACGGTCATTTGAAGACATACTTAGTGTGGCAAAAATTTTGAATTGCCTGAAACATACACTGACCAGCTGAGGTCCAGAAAGGTGATGCTCTGACTTTTCATTTCAGCTCTTATACTATAAACAAGTGTCTTTGCAATCATTTTTTAGTGCTACATGTTTTGCATTTTTGTGCTTATTGATTTTGTTATTTAAAATGGCCTGCAAACATAGTGCTGAAATGCTATCTCATGTTTTAAGTGCAAGAGGGCTGTGACATACCTTGAGGAGAAAATTAAGTTTCTTAGATAAGTTTCGTTCAGGAATGAGTTTTAGTGTAGTTGTGACTGAATCCCATGTTAATGATAAGGTTATGTATTGATTGGTTGGCAAAAATGGAACCAAAGGCTTGCAGGAGGCTCTGAGGGTATAGTAATGAGGGTATTTAAAAATTATGAAGTATAAACTGGAATTGTACTATGCAGATCAGGACTTAGAATCATTCTGCCTTTGCACTAGTTTTACAGGTGAGGTCGTAGAATTTAAGTGACTTAATTTGGTTTGTGACAGATTCTAGATACAATAACTTAGTATTCTTTACCCAGTGTCATACTAAGGAATGCCCTACAATATGCAGATGGATAAAATATAATGGTTTGCCTGCCAACTGTTAATTTGATGTGATTTGGAGAATATGTACATTTTTTTAAAGGCTAGGTAGTGAATTGGGGTAGGTATCTTGATAAACAAGATAATTTGTTGTCAGGGAACTCCCATTTATAGTTTGAGATAAAATGGGTTAGGGGGAGGTTTAGTAAATTTAGACAAAAGTAGATAGATAAATAGTGATATTCTTTGCTCTCAGGTATTGGGAGGAGAGTTGTGAGGCATAATGGCTTTTAAGAGAAGTTAGTTTTAAAAGCATTACAAATGCTAGCTAACCACCAAGAGTCCTAAACAACTTATAATGTACAAGTTTCAGGGCTTCAAAACATGCAGTATAAGTATTAATTGGAGTTTTTGGGATAGAATGTCAGGGATTCTCCAGGATGATCTTTTCTTTATAGTTTTATGAAATTCTATAAAAACAAAATATATTTGAAACTTCTAGATGATAGTGTATTGATGATAATAGGTATAGCTTATTATCTGATGACTAACATGGCAATAGCTATGCTTTCTTGAAAAATAGGTATGCATGAAATTTTACGTTATTGTAATTTTTAGATCATTTGTTTTGATTATTAGATTGTTTTAATCTGTTAGATTGTTTTTATCACTTAAGTAATTTGGCCTCACATTTCATTACCTTTTGGTTTCTGAATAAGCTTGATTAAATGTTCAGAAGCTACTCTGCAGTGATAATTTTTGTAATGTCATTAGCATGTTTTTTGAATTGATTTTAGAGAGAGGAATGGAGAGGGAGAGAGGGATAAAACATCAGTGATAAGAGAATCATTGATTGGCTGCCTTCTGCATGCCCCCTGTTGGTTGATTGAGTCCAGAACCCATGCATGTGTCCTGACTAGGAATTGAACAATGGCCTTCTAGTTCATAGGTCAGCATTCAATCAGCAAGCCACACCAGCTGGGCATGATTAGTAATTTTAAAAATCAAAAATTTTTTTTCTTTAAAAAAACGTATATATTTTATTCATTTTTTACAGAGAGGAAGGGAGAAAGAGAGTTAGGAAGATCAATCAGCTTCCTCCTGCACGCCCCCTACTGGGGATGTGCCTGTAACCAAAGGTACATGCCCTTGACTGGAATCGAACCTGGGACCCTTCAGTTTGCAGGCTGATGCTCTATCCACTGAGCCAAACCAGTTTTGGCAAAAATAAATAAATAAGTGTAACATGCTTAAAGTAAACAGTAACAGTAAATTGTTTTAACTCTGTGATTTCTTATATATTTATGTTCTCAAAGTAGAACACAGTAGTGTTGTTTTCCCCCCGATTTCATTTTACTATATTTTAAAAAAATATTTGTTTTTATTGATTTCAGAGAGGAAGGGAGAGGGAGAGAGAGACAGCAACATCAATGATGAGAGAGAATCATTGATCTCCACTGGGGTTGGAGCCCGCAATCTGGGCATGTGCCCTTGACTGGAATCCAACCCGGGACCCTTCAGCCCACAGGTCAACGCTCCATTTACTGAACCAAACCTGCTAGGGCTCATTTTACTTTTTAAAATGAACTTACTGGGGGTGACATTTTCTATCTAATCGGATTTACTCTCTCTAGCGACTAGCCTTCATGCAGTTTCTTCAGCCCAGGAGCACAACTTGCTTTATAGTCAGGTGGAAACATTCATTAGCCAGAAAACAGATTTAGAAAGCTTAGAAAGTTGACCCAACTTAAAAGAAGTAAAAAATGTTGGATCTTGAAAATGACTTCAGGTTTTCTCATTATGCAGAATATAGTCAAACACTGCAGCAGCTAAACATTTTACCCTTTGTTCTCACTGCGTGATCTACAATAACAATCTGCTTCGTGTTGATATTTACTGCTGTGTTGCTGAGGATTATATGAAAGAGAAGTTGGGGTGCTTCACTGGACTCTAAAAAGTTAACTAAATCAGAAAGCAGGTCTCATTAAGCAAGTTTATTCTATATCTATAAAAGGCTATTGACTTGCACATGTGTGATACATATGAAGCTTGCTGTGCGATACATATAAAGCTCTTGCACATGTGTATTTCCATCAGTCATTGTCAATTGTGAATTTGGTTGACACAGAAAGAGGCGAATAGCGATATTAAAATATTTCTTCTAATTTCCTTTCAATATGCACAAATTAGTGCCCGCAACCAAGGTACATGCCCTTGATCGGAATAGAACCCGGGACCCTTCAGTCCATAGGCTGACGCTCTATCCACTGAGCCAAACTGGTTTCGGCATCATTGATATTTCTAATTCCCTTTTCCTTTCCCTTCTTCTCTGTAAAAAAAAAAAAAAAAATCAATATAATATACTTAAAAAACACACAAAAACAAAAACTAATGTTTGGCCCTAACTGGTTTGGCTCAGTGGATAGAGCGTCGACCTGCGGACTGAAGGGTCCCAGGTTTGATTCCAGTCAAGGGCATGTACCTTGGTTGCAGGCACATCCCCAGTGGGACCCCTCCTGCAGGAGGCGCTGATCGATGTTTCTAACCCTTTATCCCTTTCCCTTTTTCTCTGTAAAAAAATCAATAAAATATATTTAAAACAGCAACAACAAAAACTAACGATTGGTCCTCTGTTATGTTCTTTTTCAGCGACTTCAGGAAGAAATCACTAAACAGTCTCCAACATTACAAAGAAATGCTTTGTACATTAAATCTGTAAGTTGTTCATTCCTTTTGAAATAGAATTCCATTTTGTTCAGAGTTTTCCAGTTAATTACTGTTGCTCATTCTTTGTTTTTACCAAACCAACAAATTAAAAACTTGAGTGGCATATTCATGTAAAATGATTTCTGTCTATTTTTTCTTCTCAGTCCAAGATCAGCCGGCTACCTGCTTACTTGACTATTCAGATGGTTCGATTTTTTTATAAAGAGAAGGAATCTGTGAATGCTAAAGTTCTTAAGGTTAGTCTAACAAAAAGTTATTTTTTGAAGGCAATTCCTAACTTATAAAGGTAATTCATAAATTATAGTAGGTTTCTTAAGTACTTTAGGGATAGTTAAATTTTCTGTAAAACATAAATAGGGAAGTTATTAGTATTAGACAAGTGGTTTTTAACCAAGATATGCATTGGAATTACCTATTGTTCTCTCTCTTTTAAATGTATTTTATTGATTTTTTACAGAGAGGAAGGGGTAGGGATAGAGAGTTAAAAACATTGATGAGGGAGAAACATCGATCAGCTGCCTTCTGCACTCCCACTGGGAATGTGCCTGCAACATCCCCAGTGGGATGCTGGCCAATGCTCTAACCACTGAGCAAAACTGGTTAGGGCCTATCGTTCTCTTTATTTTAAATCATATACATGTCTGGCTTTTTTCCACCCCCCTTATTCTGATTAAGTGGGGCCTGAGGTAGTACATTTAAAAAAGATTTCTAGATAATTCTGATGTATACCTTCCTAGAAACATTGTACTAGATCAAAGATCCTTATCCTTGTAGCTTTAGGGCTGGGGTTGGGCTGGGATACAGTAAAACACCCTGCACTCTGTTCTGGGCATTCCTTTCTTTCAGGTGAAGAGAATGTTAAATTATTGGTGTCCAAAGAGTACTTACATTGCAATCTGTCGATGTAGAAGCCAGCCTTATGAAGTAGCTATTTCATTGAACTGTAGTTCTGCTATATATCCAGAGTTCCTGGTCTAGCTTGTTGAGCTGAAATTTATAATACATTTTCAAATATATTTAGTGTATATTATATTCTAGTGTTATATAGAAGGTTGACTATAGTTGAAGTATCTACTGGTGTTCACTTCATATGTTGATATTAGTTGCTGAACTATATCACTATTGTTTCTATGTGAAATTGTATTTCAAATTATAGACAGAAGTGACCCCATTTGTAAATTGACTCCTCTGATGGTCTCCATTATTTTCACAACAACTGGTTTAGTATTTCTAAAATGCTTCTTTGTTATATGAAATTTGGTAGCTCCTATGTGGTCAGTTTCATGGGTTAAAATGTTTAATGGAAAAAAATTTAAAATTTGTCTTACCTGAAGTTACTACCAGATTGAAAATAAGCACTAGATGTTTTCAACTGAAAAGATTTCTACGCAGTTTTTACAGGTTTTATTTTCAACTTTATTTGAATTATGAAAGCAGTACTTTAAAAGTATGATAGATATTTTAAATAACTACCTTGTTAAGTCTGTCTACACATTTGTCCTCTTTGATTTGTATATAGGATGTTAAATTTCCTCTTATGCTGGATGTGTATGAACTATGTACACCAGAACTCCAAGAGAAAATGATCTCTTTTCGATCAAAATTCAAGGATCTAGAAGATAAAAAAGTGAATCAGCAGACAAAGACAGTAAGTTCTTATTGCACATTTTTTAATCTCAATATTTTAATCTTCAACAATTACTTTGTATTGTTATTTATTGTAGAAATGAATTTATTGTAGAAATATATTTAGCTCATATACAAATCCCACATATAAAGTTTTAGGTGTATTTTAGCATATGAAAAAGAACTTCAGTTATGGTAAAGTGTTCTTTATAGTAGAATGTTGGGTCCAGTGCACAAATTTGTGCACCTTTAAAGAATTGTGGGCCACGAGGCTGCAGTTGGCACAGGGGTGAGTCTTGGCCCATCCTTCGTGCCCCTGCCGGACCCCTCCTTCAGCAGCCCCCAAGTCCCTTGTCTGCCAGTGGCTCTGCTTCTGCTGCTGCCTGTCCCACTTGCACCCGCTGATGGTGTGGAGCGATTGGGACCTGTGCCAGCAATGGGTGCAACCAGGGCTGGCACCATCAGAGGTGTGAGTGGCAGCTGCTGCTCTGATGGCCCCTCAGGAGCAGGGGCAGGCGGAGGGGGAGAAGCCCTGAGGGGAAGTTGGGGCCAGAGGTGCGAGGGGCGGCTCTAGAAGCAGGCGCTAACACCAGGTGGGACTGCGGTCCCATAGGAGTAAAGAGTTGTCAGGAACCTTCAGAGGTTCGCCCTGATTACAGTGACCGGGGCCCCCGCTCACCTGCTCCACTGTCCCACCGCGGCCAGCGCCCCCCAGGTTCCCCTCTCTGCCACCTGCTGCTGATGCCTGCCAAGTTTTACACGCACACACCCCGTCCCCCTGGTGGCCAGCACATGTCATAGCGACCAGTTTGTTGGTTCTGCTCTTCGGTCTATTTGCATATTAGAATTTTATATGTAAAGTAAGCTTATTTTTTTTCCCTCCTATAAACTGCAGCTTATGCTTCTTTTCTGTATATCTCCTCAAACCATATATAGAAAAACTTGGCCTAGATTTTCAATGTATTTTATTATTTTCCTGGGAGGCATGGAATTATCTCTGTATCTTCATTTATGTGTGTGGAAATGGTGGTATAAAATATTGACTCATTTATGCCCACTGAGAAAACTATCTACTGTTGATATGCTAGTAACTGCTAAAATTATACCATATCAACTTCATATTTAACAGATTATGTTATTTTGGATTTATATAAAATATATCTGCATTACTATATATTGGATTTACTTTTAAATGAAGAAGATATTTCCTGTTAATAAAGATTTTTAGTATGATATTATCATATGTGAAATTTTAAATTTACCCAGCCGGTATGGCTTGGTGGTTGCGTGTCGACCTCAATCACCCAGCCACACTGAAGGAAGTCACAGTTCAATTCCTAGTTAGGGCACATGGCGGGGTTGTGGGTTTGAACCCCAGTATAGGGTATGCTAGAGGCAGCCAATTAATGATTCTCTCTCATCATTGATGTTTTTATGTTTTTACCTCTCTCTCTCCCTTCTTCTTTGAAAGATCTTTGTGTTATTTTTCTCTATTATTTTTTTCTTGGCCTAATTCAATGAATTTCTACTCTTAAACTCCTTTTTTCTGCTTGTTTTGTATTTATTTTTGCTCTTAGTCTTAAGTTAGGGGAGCTTAATTTGTTGCCCTAAATGCTTATGTTAGAAAATAGAGAAAAGAAGTGCTTTCACTATATCCTACAAATTTCATTATATTGTATTTTCATTTTCATTCGATTCCTTGTATTTTTTTTCATGTATTTCCCTGAGACTTCTCTTTGATCTTGAATTATTTAGAAGTATCTTGTTGACTTTCTAGATGTTAGAAATATTTTTTGCTATCTGTTATAGATTCTAGTTTGATCCATTGTAGTGAAGAACATACTTATGCTATGCTAATTAAGTTTTTAAAAATTTGTTGAGGTTTGCATTAGATGCTTCATGATGTGATCCAGCTTGTACACTTGAAAAGAATGTGCATTCTGTTGCTGAGTAGTATTTTGTAGTTCCTAGTTAGATCCATTTGGTTAATGGTGGTGTTGCAGTTTCTGTAACCTGGCTATTTTTCTGTCTAATTCTATCAGTTGTTGACTGTGGAGTCAACACAACTAAAACTGTGCAATTGTGTGTTTCCCCATTCAATTTTGTCAGCTTTCACTTTGCATGTTTTATAGCACCATTATTTGGTGCATATACATTTAGGATTTTTTGACATTTGGTGGAGTGAACCTTTCATTATGCAGTATTCCTCTCTGTCCCTGTGGTTTTTTAATCCGAACTCTACTTTATCTGATTAATATTGCTACTGCTGCTTTCTTTATGTTACTGTTTTCATGATACATTTGTTTTCTTTTACTTTAAAATTTCCCATACTGTTATATTTGAAGAGAGTTTCTTATAGATCTTATTGATCGTGTGTAGTTGGATCATTTTTAAAAAAATATATATTTTATTGATTTTTAACAGAGTTTCAGAAAGGGAGAGAGATAGAGAGCTAGAAACATCGATGAGAGAGAAACATCGTCCAGCTGCCTCTTGCACACCCCCTACTGGGGATGTGCCCGCAACCAACGTACATGCCCTTGACCGGAATCGAACCTGGGACCTTTCAGTCCGCAGACCGACACTCTACCACTGAGCCAAACCGGCTTTGGCTGGATCATTTTTTTAATCTAGTTGTTAACCTCTTTTATGTACAATAATTTACATTTATGTAATTATTGATACGTTAGTGTTTATATTATCTTCAGTATTTCATTTTTTGTCCTCCTATAGATTACATGAACATTTTCTTTTTAAGATTTTAAATTGATTTTTAGAGAGGAAGGGGGGGAAGAGAGAGAGAGAGAGAGAGAGAGAGAGAAAAGCATGGATCAGCTGCCTCCTGTATACCCCCCTACTGGTTATTGAGCCCACAACCCAGGCATGTGCCTTGACTGGGAATCGAACCAGCAACTTATTGGTGCATGGGATGACTCCTAACCAACTGAGCCACACTGGACAGAGACTAAACATTTTTTTAGAATTCTAGATTGATTTATGGATAACATATTTAAAGGTATTTCTTTGCATTGCTTTTTTTGGGGTTGCTGTAGGTATTACATTATATATAGTTGGACTCTTGAACCAATGTAGAGGTTAGGGGTATAGTAAAAAATGCATGTGTAACTTAAGTTGGTCCTCTGCATACCCATTCCCAACCACCAGTTGACCCTGAACAGTTCTGGTTTGAGTTGTGTGGGTCAATTGAAAACAAATCGAATATAAGTGGACAGTAAATATTTGTGGAAATGAATATAGGTATTCACCACTTTCTGAAAGTTCTCGTTACGTCACTTCACTTTTATGAAAAATCTACCATTTTAGCCAACTGAAAGAAATCGGAAGAGGAATTTTGCTTTTATGAAAAAAGCCATTACCATACTCATGTAGGTCTTTTGCCTTTTGTAAAAATAAAGAGGAATAATGTGAACTTTCTGAAAGCAGGATTTACTCTTTGCTTTCTATATGCCAGTTTGGCTTTTAAAAATTTTCATAGAAATGCTCCTTTCAGATACTGGGGAAACATGTACTCTCATTAAGAAAGCAAATTTTATTTCAGATATCATAGTTTAAAATTAAACATTTTTTTTTCCCTTTAGAGTGACAAAAAGAGTAGTCCCCAGAAGGACGTTAAGTATGAACCCTTTTCTTTTGCTGATGGTAAGTGAATATTCATTTCAGTTGAGGTTATGTGTGTGTGCGTGTGTGTGCGTGTGTTTGAAGTAAAATTACTGTCTAGTCACATAACTTCTTTGTTTTTTTAGTTATGCTTTTAAAAAAAGTCAGGGTTCTTGAAGTATAATTTATCTCAATATGACATACAATAAAAATCATTCTTTTTAGCATAAACTTCTAAAACATCTTTCATGAAGCCTTAACTTGGACAGTAGTAGCTTACTGGATTCTAATAGTAGTGCTAACAGTTCTTGCTTGTTATTTGGTTTTAGGAAGCACATGTCTGTTTATTTGTCTAATATTACTGAATTTATATCTTCCTTTAGACATTGGCTCCAATAATTGTGGATACTATGATTTACAAGCAGTGTTAACACATCAGGGAAGGTCTAGCTCTTCAGGTCATTATGTATCATGGGTGAAAAGAAAAGAAGGTAAATATCCTTTTTTTTTTTCAGTTGTTATATACTATTTTAATAGTTTAATATAAATTTTATAATTGGTTCTCAAAGTTTTTAATTTCAGAATCCCTTTACACTTACTTATTGAGAACCTTCCCAAAGAGCTTTTTAAAAAAAAATATATATTTTATTGATATTTTTTACAGAGAGGAAGAGAGAGGGATAGAGAGTTAGAAACATTGATGAGAGAGAATCATCGATCAGCTGCCTCTTGCACACCCCCTACTGGGGATGTGCCAGCAATCACGGCATGCCCTTGACCGGAATCGAACCTGGGACCTTTCTGTCTGCAGGCCGATGCTCTATCCTTTGAGCCAGAACGGTTTCTGCCTAAAGAGTTTTTGTTTATGAGCATTATGTTTCTTATTTACTATAATAGAAATTAAAACTGAGAAATAAATTAATTTATTTAAAACTGACAGTAATAAACCTATTACATAAATATTTAAAAAAAAATCATAATCCCCCCTCCCGAAAAAAAAATTGCAAGAAATGGTATTGATTTACATTTTTTATAAAAATGTATTTTATTGAGTTTTTACAGAGGGGAAGGGAGAGGGAAAGTTAGAAACATCGATGAGAGAGAAATATCAATCAGCTTCCTCCTGCACACCTCCCACTGGGGATGTGTCCGCAACTAAGGTGCATGCCCTTGATGGAATCGAACCTGGGACCTTTGAGTGTACAGGCCGATGCTCTATCCCCTGATCCAAACCGGTTTCGGCTTGATTTACATTTTTATGTCTTTAATAGGAGACAGCTAGATTCCCCTAATTATTTCTGCATTGTCTTTTGCTTTATCACACATTGTGTATCCTTAGGAAAATTCTAAAGTACGCTTGAGAGAACGAGGGGGGAAAGATACTTAATGCTTTAGTAGTGTTATAACAGTTGTGACCTTCATGGAACTCCTGAAATGGTTTTGAACCCGAGTAGTTCCTGGATCATGCTTTGAGAATTGTTGCTATGGTAGATGGAATACCGCTGGGCGTAAATACCTTTTGGAAATGGAACTCTGAAAAAATGGTGCATGATTTTAATTCCATTCTCCTTGTTGTCTAGACGAGTGGATTAAGTTCGACGACGACAAGGTCAGCACTGTGACGCCGGAAGACATCTTGCGGCTTTCTGGTGGTGGAGACTGGCACATAGCTTACGTCTTACTCTACGGGCCTCGCAGAGTTGAAATAATGGAAGAGGAAAGTGAGCCGTAATCTTCATTTTAGCTATTTATGCTTAGGTGTGAAATAAATGTTATTTGTTGATCATTTCTATAATCCAGAGCTTTAGAGGAAGATATGTAAGTGGTTTTGTTTTCCCTCATATGGAACAAAGGGCAGAAGCAGACCACTCTGTCTGTCAACGTAAAATATTGCAGAAAAGAGAAAATTGCCTTTGGACTGTGCTGCTCTGTATAAAGGTGACAGGAAGAAATTTTTTAAAAGCTTATTCTTGCATTAGTTTTTCTAAAATTCTGAGTTGAGATGCCTTTCAACCATTATCTTCTGTGATAATTTCCCCTGCCTTTTTCAGCTCAATATTCAGCAATGAAATGTTTATTGCACACCAATACTGTTATTTGTTGTTCTTGCATGGTTCAAACCACAGGTAATTTCCTTTGCCTTAGCTAACAAATTTTGCCAGGAAGATGGAAAGGAAGTATTGCTCTCATTGTGCTCTCAGTGCTGCTGTCCACATAGCCCATGGAAACATGGATACAATCAAGTATTTGTCCAGCCTGATTGTTGCTGGCTTCTCATGACTTTAAAATAAATTGTGATCAATAGTACATTTGATTATACATTTATTACTGTCTCTGTGATGTACTATGGTTTGTACATTTAACTCTGCAATGGTTTTATAGTAATCAATCTGAAAAGGATGTTGACAGGCTCTGGTTATATTTAGAAAATAGGGATATTTAATAAAAAAGAGAGGGATTAACAGTTATTTGTCCAACAGTTTCAAAGTCTTTTGTCTATCGAGTTGGCTGAAGTTCCAGTTATGTTAACCCTGATGGTTAGTTTTTCTGCTGTTAAGTATCCATTTAAAAACTTTATCTTTGAATGTTTTATATTGTTTAAAAAGAAATACGAAGTTGTAAGAGCAGTGGAGATTTTTTGGATGCTGAATGCAGCATTTATCAGTCAGATCTGTTCTTTGGCTCAGTTCTTTATTTTTGTACTTGTCAGTTCCCAAAATCTTAATGTCTTTTTCACAGCTGAGTATCAATGATTTTTCTAGTGGTGGTAGGAATACCAAGGGTATGAGGTATTTCAATATAGTAGGTTTAATATATTCTAATTAGTTCATCATCTTTGTCTTAGGAGCCTTGTTAGAGAAAGGATAGAATATTACCAAATTTGTCTCTGATTTCAAGTTGGATATTTATAATTAAGTTTTGAGGGTTATCATGAAACCTCATCTTTGCTTACTCTTGTTTTAATACTCTCTAGAGCACAGACAGCACTGACAGCTAGTAGATTCCTAGAGAATAATGACTATTTTTGAGTTTGAGCAATGTGATATAATCTGAACACTAGGGCACATAAAATAAGTATTTCAGGGAAACTTTATTTGTATATAGCTTCTTCAGCTAATCTTTACTTGAATTATTGGCAATCAGTACTTCCTTTGCTTTGAGGGAGGGTGCAGAATAGGATGGGAAAAATGAGGCCATAAGAATTGTGATGTTTTTTATATATTGGTATGCTGCTTATAATTCTGCAGTTTTTTTATTCACTGTAATTGGATTGAACAATTTTGAGGATATAATTTAGCAATTGAAATTTAGATTTTCTGATTTGCAGGATGCTGTAGCTACTAGAGATCAGGTGAGGTAGATTTAGAACAAAGTATATAAACCTTTATATAGAATTAGAATTTTAAAATTGTAATTATAAAAAAAAAACCCTTTCATTTGTTCCAAAAAAAGCATTATTCCAAAGATATTTTAAGTATAAGAAATTGGACTGATCCCAGTGTTGTTTTAAACTAATAAGGCTGCTTTAGAGGTCAGCCTTGCCGGTAGGGTCTTTGAGAGTAAGCAAGAAAAGGTCTTGACCCTGAGTGTGCCTTATATGCTGTGCCACTAGCACGACGCCCTTTTGATACTAGAGCTGTGCTGTGTACTCTGTTGGACTAGCTAGTCAAGTTAAGCCGAAGCAAGAACAGTTATTGTATAATGTGCATTTAGTAGTTCTCGATTCAAAACAATGATAACAATCTTAGATCCCTAAAGGATAATGCTTATGTTGGGACAGGAAAAAGAGAGAGTTCTGTCTCCAGCCATTACTACCTAGTGCTTTGCTGTTTACAGGGTGCTTTCACAGACATCTCATTTGAAATTCACAACAATCTCTGAGCAATGTATTCCCATTTTAATGACTTGAGAGGTTAATTTTTATAAGGCTAAAGGAACTAGGTTTTAGACTTCACCCCATTTCTTCAGCAAACATATTCTGTAGTGGGCCAGATATTAAATATTTTAAACTTTGCAAAGTATAACTTCTTTGTTGCAACTACTTAATTTGCCGTTGTAGCAGGAAAGAAGCCATAGATAATACCTAAAAAGAAATCAGCATGTAAGTGTGCTGATTAAATTTTACTTACAAAACCAAGTGTTAAACGGACCATTGTTTGCTGATCCTCTGTTTTAAAGCATGAGCTAGAGCAGCCATAAGGATTCATAAAGTCTTATTCTGGGATTTTCAGAATAGCAAGTTAAATTTCATAACTGCTAATGGCATGCAGAAACTAATTTGGCATAGTGCATTTTAGAAAACACCATGCCCCCTAAATATCGCTTATTGACTTGATTAACACACTTAACAAAAATATATTGTGACCTTGAGGTCACATCACTTTGGCCATTTTTCCAACCTCCTCCTCCCTCCTCCCAAAACCCTGAGATCAGTTGTCAAGAGCCAATCTGTGTTTTGTTCTTGGAATACCAGCCAACTGTACAACTGTTATAAAAATGTTTATTGTTTACCAAAACCAGTGGACCTCTTAACAAATGCTGCTTGGTAACAAAGTCTTATCACAGTTTTAATAAAAAAGGAAAAAAAAAAAGCTAACTATTTGTCTCATTGTCATTAGTTAGACTTTCTGCAAGGTCACTTAATCCAGACTTATTCAGTGCATTAATCAGATTCTCAGGCGTTGCATGGACTCCCTCTTGATCTTGCCAGGCAACTAGTAACTGCCTAGCTCTCATCTTCATGTCTTCGCTGTCACACTCAATCTGTCTAATTTCCGAGTCTTTCATTTCCAAGTAGGGAGCCAGAATCTTCCATTGTTCACCCAGTTTGTTGGCAAATATCTCTATTTGTTCCCCTGTTACAGGTTTGTCTTGGCGAACATCAGGGCCTAGAAGACACAAGAAATGTAAATTATGTACCAAGTATGAGGACATGTACTATTCAAAGTTTACAACAGAAATGGGAAGATATGGGGCCACTGAAATGTTAATCCCCTTTAACAAGCTTTATTTTGAAAGTAAAACAGTTCCTTTTTATATTTTCCATGGATTGAATACTGTTCTTATGACCTTTAGGAAATCATTTTTAAATTGTTGTTAAGCAGTGCTTCAAATTCCTTACTATAAGAAAGAGCTGAGATACATGGTAGAAGTTGAGAAGTAGATCAAATTAAATAACGTACCTCTCAACAAAGAACCACAATCTTTGTAAAATAGCCAAGAAAATTCAATTCTTACTTTCATTTTCCTTCAGTAAAGCATCATTATCTTCCTCATCTTCATCCTCACCTGTTTTTATTTCTTCAGAAGGAGGCTAAAATGAGTAAAGAGAATATTTAAGAGAATGGCAACTTCTAAAGTAACCGGGGTTTAATTTGTTTAGATGAGCTGATTGTGACATTCCAAGTATAGGACCCAGATCTTTACCCCTGAGGGTATTAAATGTGAATGTTAAATATGACACAGAGAACAGTGTTAACCTGGAGAAGGAGTGGATGGGGAAGATCTGAAAGTTGGAAAGACTCCCCTTTACTCCTCTAACCTGGGAAGAAGGCAGTCAGTAAAAGATGTTAAAATTATTTTCACATATCTAGCATATAGTAATAATAGTCTAGGGAAGACTAGAGTTGAGCAACTGTGTCCTTAACATTTTTTGTGTGATTTTATTAGCTTTTATGCACAGTTATTAGTACCATATTGTAGCAATACAATGCGAAAACTGAACTGAAAGAGCCAGAGTAGTAAGGCCAAGTTGCCTACTGCTACCATCTTTGAATATAATGCACCAACAAACAAGAAAAATGATAATAGTTTATCCAAAAGCACTACAGACTTACATTATACATGGAGTACAAAAATCACTCAAGTTTATCAGTTTATGGTAGTTGGATTTTTTCCACAACTCTAAATTCAGTTCTGTTTAAATGATAGCAGTTTAACATCAATTAAAGGAAATTAAAAAAATAGATTTATAATACTCACTGGTAATTCCTTTGCTAGCTTTATTACCATGTTTTCAAGATATTCTGGCAAACTTTTGAACTGCTGGTTGGTTGGCTGGAAGAAGTGAGGGCTTCTTCTTGCTAACAGTCTCAGGGCTCTCCAACCATAATTTGAATTGTTCACAGCCCTATAAAAAGATGTCGGTCTTATAACTATATAGTCATTTACTTCTATATTCCCTTCTAGTTAATGTAACTCACCATGTTAAACTGTAACTCTGCACCCTTTTCATTGATCATATTCCCAAAGAACCTCAGTGTGCTGGCTGCTTATAATAGAAACCAACAGTCTGAAGAGGGAGGTCACACCAGCAAGCACATTTAAAAAATTTGTATGCATTTTACTTAATTTAAAACAAATTAGTATGTGTAGGGCTGGCTAGATGTTGTATATGCAGGGCAGAAATCTAGTTATTTAGGGGGGAAATGAATTCCTAATAGGTTTAACATGTTTTAGTGAGTTGATACCTGCCAGCATAATGCAATCTATAGGTGTGAGCTCCAATCATTAATTTAATCAATGTTTGGTTTCCTATTTATACAAAGCCTAAACTTGAATTTGTTCAGAATCATCATGATGGGATAAAAATACTGCTCCAAAATTAAAAGGGAAATACCCAATAGCCAAGAGAGTAAGCAATGATGCCAAGAACAGGACCCGTGAATTGTTCCGTAAGGAAGCAAAGTGGTAATAGGTGGTATACATTAAGGTGAGAAATGGAAACCTCAG